ATCTCCGACTCCACCCCGATGCAAGGGATTACAAGGTCATTAAAAAGACCACGGGCTTGCTGCAACAGCTGGACGTGTGAGGAAAAGTCAGAAGTCATTTTTTTCAGCCCGGTTGTAATTTTGAACAATCATTAAAGGAATGGTCATAAGTCAATACTACCTGTACTGGTAAGAAGAGTGTTAGAAGCTGGATGGTCAGTGTCTTCTTTGTTCCATAAGCCCAACACAAGAGAGGCATTTAGAATTGAATATCATCACATGCCACCAAATATAGAGAAAAATGCAGTTTTCCCTTGAAATCCCAACAACTCCCTAGCAGGGAGTCACTATTTTTTTAAATCCACTTCCTTTGTTGTCAATGTTAATTTTTATTCATTTAAACCATAGCTTTTTTAGAACATCTGTTATATTTGTTTATGGTTGCATCTTGACATATACAATAAATCTCACCAAACTCAAATATTCCTTCTACATCCACCCACCCACAAATCTCTTTAATGCAGCCCCCAAAACAGAGGACAGAGAAAGTCATTTTGCCAGTTCTGAACATCACGCTAGCTCTTTCCCCTCCAGGCAGGCTCTGACACCAACAAACTTGAAAGAGGACTTTTCCAGTATGTTACTGTGCCAACAGGCAGGCGTAGGTCCAAAAAGGCCCTGAAAAATTGTTGGAGAGCAGCTGGGGAGCCCGATGTGTAAAAGAAGATGAAACAAGCTGGCTAAATGATGACTAAGAAGCAATATGACACCGCTTCAGATATCTGAAGGGTGTAAACATCCAGTAGAGAGAAACCATACTGTTGAGCAAAATAAATTTAAAACATGACAAAAGCAAGCCTTTATCCTTCATTGTGGGAACAGAACTACAAAAGAGAGCTGTATCAGAAGAAAGCCCATGAATCTAGTCTCGGCTACAATTTATGATGATCTTAACAATAATCTCTGTTGGCGCTACTACTCTTATCTTGGAAGCTTCTTGGAATAATCACTGCATAAAGCTAAGTCTTCTTCTTATCGACAACCAGGAGCCTTGCTGGGCCCTTGAAGTATTTGGAGAGTGAGCCCATGTTGCAATTCAAAGGTTATTTTAAATAGGGTGTTATTGTGCAAGAGAGTTAAAACTTGAAGAATCCTAATAAATCGCATCGGTTTTTTTATCCAATTCTACATTTATTAAATTAAGGTGCACCCCATCCTATATTATTCCAAAGAAGCTATTCCTTTTAGATAGCTCACCAATAGATGATTCACCTAGATCTGTTTCAAATCAAACTTGAAGGAAATAAAATAAAAAAACCAACTGGAGGAATAAAAAAACATGACAAAATGGAAAGGGAAGAGACGTTGTAGGATAAGGGGGTAAGGAAGATACCTGAGCCAAAGCACACTCAGATAATCCAATGTAGATGGTTACATGCAAGACCTTGGTGCTTTGAGCAGGTTAAAAAACAGTGCATGAAGGTCACACCTCTCTCACATTATTTGTCCCGCATTAATCGGCACCAAGATACACTCCATTTGAAAATGAAAGCCCTCTTTGAAATATCTCTCCACATATTTTAAACACACCCATGCACACACACATCCAGTCTTCAAGCTTCCCACCACCTCACAATAATGAATCCAATTTGAATCATAACCTAGAGCAGAAAAATAAGAAGAACTGAACATACAACCTTAAAGCCAGAGGTCGGCTGTTCCCTGATAAGCTTGTCACTGAGACTATTAACAATTCACCTATATTGAGTCCATCTGAAACAAGATTTGGTGCTCTCGCAAATAAATTTGGAGCAATCTATTTAGGCGAAGAGCAAATCTTTGTTTGTTTTATATACCTATTGTATTGTAATGAGGTTTCTTTTTTTTAAAAGAAGAGTTAAGAAAGTCGTGAAAGGGAAGAGAAAGAAGGGGAGATGGGGGCATCAATCCTGTGTACCCACCCCTAATCAGTCCCATGTGGTCAGCTCATCAGCTGTTTTGTTTTCTATCCTAAACCTAAGCTTCTCACTTCTTGCAAAGTCTCCAGTGGAATCTCTTAGTCATGATTTGCACTGAACTCCTTGGTATTTCTGTCCTGGGTTCCCCCCCCCCCGATATTTTTGCCAAACCACCATTCTTATATTGCTTAGTTTTACCCTAGAAATGCATCCTGTGACTTTAATCTCAAAATTCAAATAGGGAAGTTTCTTATATCTAGAAGTCTAACGTCAAAACCTGGCTTCCACCCCACACTAATGTCATACTGGCTTCTACCCCATTGCTCCTTCTGTTCTCCTCACCGTATTTCAGCTCTTTTGGCTTCACTTCTCCCTCACTCTGGACTTTGCATCTCCAGTTTTAGTACTTGGAGCACTTGAAGTAAACAGAGTATTGATCATTTGAGTTGCTCGTGTCCAGTAGGAACCAGCAACTTCATTTTAAATTCTTTCTCTCTGAAAAAATATGGAATTAAATTGTATGAATATTCATCTTAAAATGAACCAAGTTTGATATTGGTCCTTTTTCTGGTTGCTGATGCTTGGATCTCCCTGCTCATAGCTAAAGTTGTTACTTCCTCAGCAGCAATCTAGTGGCCATGTTTGCTCATAGGATTGATGGGATTATGTCATAAAACCACCTGGCAAGTTAAACTAAACATATGGTAATATTATATGTGACACTTTTAATGCCACCCCTCCATGGTTTTGTTTAAATGGTATGATTTAAATGGTTTTTAAGGCTCTATTATTTAATTATTTTATTTCAATTGCCCAGTCTGTGATATGGATAAGTATATACATTAAATAAACTATGACAGAGATTACTAAGAGGTAAATCAATGGAATCATTCACATGACCCCATGGGATCATCGGTTCTGTTATCATGTGCTGAGGAAGATTAAAAAGACTTGAATATCAACATAGTACCTTACATTGACCAGTCAGGAGGAGGAATTGATCCCTTTGATCTAGCTGAGAAAATGTAAACTTGTTAGTATCATTAGAATAAGCTCAGGGATCAACTATGCAGCAAAAGCCTGTTCTTTTTCCTTGGGTCCATGGCTTAATTTGCATTATTTATGAAGTGCCAAAAATCAATACACACCCTCACAGGAAAACCCTAGGAAGATGGCTGCAGCCAGTGAAGTGGGAAATATTTCACCAATAATTGTCCATTGTCAGAATTTTTCAATATCATTTTGTTCCCTGTCCTTGCAAGGAGTCCAACATTCTTTCCCAAGACGCATGGTCAAAGAAATGTATGTGTTGAAAATTAACAATTCCCCCAATTATACAGATATTGATCTGATTTATGAAAGTTATTTTACAAAAGTTATTGTAGTCCATAATCATACACACATCCTTTTTGTACAATACACCAATTCTCACAATACACTCAGAACATGAGACTTAACCGCAGAATGATTGTTGCCCAAATATATTCAAGGCCAGAAGCCTAAAACATTATATCCCTGATCAAGATTTTACCAGTTTTGCATTCTCTTTTTAACATCTGGCCTCCATGAAAGTCATTACAAAATCAAGCTTTTGGTGTGGATTAGAACGTTGCAAGGAACAGTGTGATGGTTTTGAAAATCTGAAACACAGTATTCTTTGTGCCTTCTGGCTGCTTTTAGCCAGTCTACATTAGGATTATTGTAATAGAATAGAATTGAAATAGAATAGAATAGAATAGAATAGAATAGAATAGAATAGAATAGAATAGAATAGAATAGAA